TTTGAGTTAACAGGCAGTTTTAGTAAACCAAGTTTGAGCCAGCTAATAGTAAATGAATGGAAAAAACAAGGTCAACTCCATGCGTTAGCGGGGGGTTTCGAGTTAATCAAGCGAGTTAACGGGGTTTTCCTGTACCTTAATTGTCAAAGTAAAATCCTGATCAGCCGGTACAGAACCGAAAGGAACTTCAACATGTATGTCTGGAAAGTCAGGTACTACACATGTGAATTGAGGAGCCACTAAAGTACCACTTGTGAATGTGAAGGACTTAAGGCGCCAAACGGCAGCAAAGGAAGAAAATCGTGACAGGGTGCATGTAGCTTCAACAAGCTGAGGCCAGTCAGAAACTTCTGGTTTTTCTACACATAAATGTTAAATTTTAGTTTAAGATTTTGAGCTGTTTTCTTAACCCTTTACACCTTAACATCAGTATGCATATTCTCCATACTGTTCTCTATACATTTTCTAAGGTGCTGAAAAGGAGAATTTGTTGAACAATCAAGAGCTTCTTTAGCTGGTGATCATATCCTTTATTCTTGTAACCTTGATGTTTGATTCAGGGGTGATATTATAAGGAGAAATTAAATGCTAATCACTCTCAGGGGTCAAAGGGTTAATAGGTGCCAAAAAAATGAAAGCTGCATCACTTCTATGATGCTGAAAAAGGATAGACTAAGGTGGAAAAAATGATTGTGAAGTCTAATTTTCTGGCTAAAGGACTGTTGTAGGTGGTAAATGACTGATGTTTCAGCAACCTTTGGGGAAGCCATCATCAATTTCACGCGAAACGTTGTTTGTCAGTAGAACATATGAGTCTGATTTGCGAAAACTTATCGGTCAGTTTTGCCGCGGTGTCATTGGCTGTAAGTCTCAGAAAGCAAAACAAAACAACTCAAAAAAGGACAAAGCATACCAATAAACTAGTAGATCAGTCAACTTGTGCTGAACCCAGAAATCTCGATCAGACATAAAAGTAACAAACAACTCCACACTGGACTCTGACGATGACTTCTGCTCAGGTCAACGAAATGCTACAAACTGTCAACGTAATCAGTTCTTTTCAGGACTATATAACCTCACCCAGGTTTTCAGACTTCACAATCGATAATCATAAAGAGCAAATTTCAATTGAGTGTCGAAAGTAACCCGTGATTGATTTGTTTTTGCTTTCCTTTGCTCTTTGATTGGTCCAGAAAACTCAGGCCACTCTTTCAATCAATCACAAGCAAAAATAAAACAAATCAAGACTTGATCACCCGTGTTTTCCCGCGCTTTACTTGAGTTCTCAGTATTTCCTTTCTTCTGATTGGCCGTCTTGATTATAGTTTGTACTTTGGTTTTGCAACACTATCCAAAAACTCACTAACAATCATCATGAATGACATGTAACCTGCACCTGATGCATGCCAAGTCTCCAAATCCTTCCATTCGTTGTCATGTAGATCCACCAATTGCTTGATAACCACTTCATAGCCCTTCAAATCACTTGCACTGTGCAACAAAGCCACAGTTACGTTTCCTTCGTCATCTCCACTTAACTCTAGGTCTGGTGGACCATCGTGTGACAATTCAATCACATTGCTTACCAAAAGCTCATCACTAGAAATGGGCGGACTGCGACGTTTAGGAGGCCATACTGAACAAGTAAATAACAAAGGTTTTGGCACAGCCCCTTCATGAAATGTGACATAGGCGGCTACTTCCGGTAGGTTCCATACATTACCTTTTTCTGTAACTTCACCCCTGAAAATAAGGTTGGCAATAACAGTTATGCTTTGGAACATTAAAATATAACCAAAAAATGTTAAGGAGTGATGACATTTGTCCTCAAAGCTACCTTTGAACAAACTTATATACTCTATCCTGGGGCTAATTTTGCAAGGCGCTTTTCTTTTGTTTTTACTTAAAAAAAAAAAAAAAAAGGAAAGAAACTCTGACCAAGGTCTGTGCACTAACTAAGCTTCCTTACACCACTCCTTTTTTAACCATGGATTTATCTTTACACCTGTGCAAAAGCCACATGAACCAGTGATAGAAATTTCTAAGTCTGTAAGAGTTCATATAGGCTCTTTTGAGAAGGGTAGCTCACATTCCTCTACAGAGTTAAAAAATTCTTAAAGTCCCATCAGAAAGAAGTCATCATCTCTCAATATTAGATGGTAAAACCACTGCCACTCTCATCAATCAATCTTTTTAGTTCGAAGTTCATTGGGCGTTCTGTGATATTAACTCACTTTTTATCATCCACTGATTACTAATATCGATTCTCCAAACGAACTGGTTAACTCTTGTAATGTGAGCCATCTTACCACTGATAAATTGATGAGTTAGATATAGTAATTCTTACCTAAAAATGACAGATCTTTCGAACTCTTCAACATCCCGTAATAGATCTTTCTTCAGTTCTAAGTGTTGCACAGTATCTGGTTCCATCTTAACATCTCCCAACTGGGACATCACTCCTTCCATGGGAACTAAATGTTTTTGATGAAACAAGCATACAGATAAGCAAGGAGCTTATCACACTTCAAACCCAGCTCCTTATTCTCAATTGTACATTGTACAGCAAGTTTATCTAATTAACAAATGGACAGCGGTTTAGCATGATCTGCTCTCTAGTTGAAAATGACATTTGTCATCACAGTAGTCAAAATGTCTTGGATTCACAAGGTGCAACTGCAAATTAGCTGATTAGATTATGCTATTACTGCCAATTGTGGTAAAAAAAGATCTTGGTAGATTAAAAGAAATTAAAAATGTATTAAATTGATAGCAAATGGCATAACTCAATAATTAATAATTCAATAACCAAACTTAACCAAAAAAGTAAGTCATCACCAGTTACTATTTCCTCTTGAATATAAAACAAGTAGAGTTAATTAATTTATAATTAACTGCTTTAAAAAACTGTGACTCAGTAACAATTTCAAAATCATCCATTACAAGTGAATTTTTTCAGGGGGAAAAGGAGCAAGGGCTTTTTTTTCTGTCATGCCAGAGATTTTCTATCACATATTAAGGAGGCACGGTGGCCAAGTGGTAAGGACACTGGGTTTGTAGTCTGGTAATCCTGTGAACAAGCCCTCCACCCTGCCACCTCCCAAGATCTGATTGTTAACTCTCTCCTCTAGCTGCTACACATTTCGAATTGCTTGTGAATAAGTTACTATAATATGGTGTCAGATTGAGATAACAACTTCAACCTGATAAGCATGAATATACTCATGACCTGTTTGCTAGATAATGTTTAGATACTATGTAGGAAGAAGTTACTTGTTAATCAGGGTTAAATGGTTCCTTGAGTTCAATTCCTTTGGTGTGCTTTGTATATAGCTAACTGCAGCCTGCCTCCTGCCAGTTGGGGTTTTTACACCCCATGTTTAATTACCATGTTTGGGGCCAGATCGTTCGTATTGGTGCTGAGATGAGCCATATTGGGGGGACTGGTCACAATTTTATAGGTACACAAATACATACCCACACATACATTCCTCATATTATCAGGTATGTTGAATTAAACTGATCAGAGTTGATTTATCTTGTGACAGCTAGTAGGGGGGTATAACTGATTGTAATTGTAATTCAGTAACAATTTATCACAAAAACTATTTTGGGAGAGAGATTGAAGGTTCTTCAAGTCTGCAAAGAAATTTTACATGATCAATCCTTGAAATGTCATGCTACTAGATAATTAACCAATTTAATTTTCCTTTTGTCCTTACCCTCAAACTTCCTTCTCTTACTAGAGCTGGATACCCCAGAAGTTTCAGGTTCTCCAATAGGATCAAATTTATGTTTTTGAGCAGCTGAGCCACTGTCTTCCTCTTGCTTCACTTCAGTGGAACCAGAAGCTGGTAGGTCAGTAAGAGAGATGAAACAGGAAGGGTAAAAATGTGATATTCAAAGTTACGTGATATTTGAAATATTCAACTAAACACACTAATTGACTAATGAGAGTGCATGTAAGTAGATCTTGAATATTTTATACAGGGTTCGTACCCTTTTTCAGAAACAATTTTCCAGGACTTTTCCAGGACTTTTCCAGGCTTCAGATTATTTTTCCAGGACTCCAAAATTCACCTTAACTCTTTCACTCTCATAAGTATAAAAGATTCATTTCTACTTTCAATTTCAACACATTGTCAGACATACAAATGAGAACAAAGAAAACAGAGAATATCAACTTCTTTCATTGAACTCTTAATATCTCAGAAGTAACATCAGAAATCCGTGACTGATACTAAGTAGAATTAATATTCACATCTTGGGATTCAAAGTGGGGTTAATTATTTTTCAGCTCTTGGAGCTTTCCTTCCAACTGCTCGTCAATGTCCTTTAAGACTGCCTTTTTTCCTTGGCAGATCTTCGCAAACTGTTTGATTTGGCAACCCTAGAACGGTTTCTTGAATCTCCAGCGCTAACGGCAAATTCATCTGCAGTCTTTAAAAGAGCCTCTATATCAGTTTCAATTTGCCGTTTTTTTTTCTTCTTCAGCACATCAATCCCATCCATTGCTGCCTTTCTTTTTAAGCGTGTTTTCCTGGGACACTTTAATTCTCTTCTGCTCTTCTAGATAGGAAATATATTTCTGTCGCGCTCCAGCAGATGCCATAAGTAGTTGCTTTGAGATTTTTACATTGGCAAGGCCTCCAACTGATTCAATATGATCATGAATAATCCTCTGTGCAATGAACGATCTTTCCGACAGGTTCTCAACTGCCACTTCTTTGTTTACAGAAAATCCTCTTTCAACTGTGGCTTGACCATGAGACATTAGCAGCAATAATTCAACTACCCCCATGCTTTTGCCAGTTGCTTATTACCAGCCATGTGTTCATATAACAGTGTGTCGACTCTTAAAGAGGATTCACTAGGGTCAAAATCTTCAAAGTCAGGATTACCTGCACATTCATCCAAAAACTGTCCAAACTGATATATCACCTCATCACACTCATCAGCCTTCAATCTGTGGGCTTCCACAAGAATTTCAAGAACTCTTTTCATTTTTTTTTGACACATCCTTCTTTCTCTGATGCCATTAGCCTTGGATCCAGACAAGACATACTTCTTACTAGTCGATAATTTATTGGTGTTTTGTCAAGCAGTTTAGAGGCTGTTTTTGCAAGAAAATCTTTACATTCCATTCTGAATTGAAGAACTTGCCTTTCACTCAATTTCCCAGATTTTTCTTTCAGCATGTGTTGTGCCACAAAGCCAACATCAACTTTCTGGTAGTCTAACTGCTGTTCTTTATCAGTGGGCTTCAACCTCAGGATCTTCAGAGGAGATGTTGCCTCGGTAACAAGTTCACCCTTGATAAACCTATTCAACAATGATTTCAACAAAGTGTACAAACTGATACTCATGAATGGCAGCATAGGTTTATCAGTCTGAAATGCTGTGAGAAAAGGATTGATCTGTTTTGCCACTGATGAGAAGAAGGCAATCTTTGCTGGCATCAAGGGATCACAGCAACTACTGCTAATGGTCTCGTAAGATTTGGACTTGGGATCAGTAACTTTCTTTGCCTTAACAGCATTAATGTATTTGACAATGTGAGGCCACACTTCCAGTGCTCGCTCGGCAACTGACACATTCTCTAACCACCGGTGCTGGCAGAATTTTAGGGGGAATACACTGCTACCAGTTATTCTAATGTAGTCTTCTCTTCGAGCCGGACTGTCTTTAAACAGCCAGTAAAGACTGGAGAGAGTTTTCTGCACCGTCCATCCAGCTGCATCACAACCATCCTTAAAAGCTCCATGCACAACATGTATACCACAACTGCCTGTGTTAAGGAGAGTGCAACTGAAATCACTCTTCAATTCTTGCTCTACCATTTCATAAAATTTCCAGTTAACCTTGGGCCCATCCATAGAGAGTTGAATCAGATTTCTACAGCTCAAGTCCTCTTTGCAAGAATGAAACTTTTGAAGCATATCCTCTGCACTAGAATGCCCAAGAAATTGTGAATCATAATAGCGAGTTTCAACTTTGTCATGATTCCAGATGCGAACATGGAAATCCATCTGCTTCTTTTGCAGTTCGTGATTCAAACTTTCATCAAACAAAAGCACATATCCCTTTGAAGATTTGACTTTTTCCTTTAGAAGACTCTTGAAACATGGTGCAATACCAAAGCAAGAAAGATAGGAGGCCTTTTTCTCCCCACAGGTAAATTTCTTTGCAATGTCACTGTCTGGAAACATTTGCTGCACTAAGAAGTTTATATCTGTACAGGAATTATACGAATAATGGCTGCTATTCACCTTTAGCGCCCACCAAATTTCAGCAGTTAAAGTATCATTCCTCGTCACGAACCCGGACATACCTGCTGTTGTACTAGCGGCACTACTTGATACAGTCAAAGTAGAGTTGTTACTTTCAGTGGCTGTTCGAGGGGCAGCGAAAAAAGAGCTGTTCGAGAAAAGGTTTCTTATGTCACCTGTTGTATTTCTTTGTTGCTTTTCGATAAGATGAATATGCTTCTTTCCCTTTTCGTGGCTTTTCAATGCCGATTCTCCCATATTTGATACATCAAACGCTTTCATACAAACTCTACATTTTGCTTTAAACTTGTCCGCGTCACGTTCCAGCCACAATTTATAGGAAGAGTTTTCCAACCATCGGTCACTAAACAAGCATTTCCCAGGCATATTTCGGAACAAAACATTTAAAACTCAAGACGCCCATTCACTGAGTACCCGTTTACAAAATCATGCACATCAAGGTTACTACTGCGCATGAGCTTATGATGATACATGAGCCCTCGATCCAGAGTTACACTCGTGTCAGTTTCTGGGAAACATGAAAAAATATAGATGCGGTCATGCGGTCAAAACCAGAAAGGAATACGTTATAAAAATACTAAAAAAACTTTGCTCATTTGTTTTAGAGAAAACTTTATTACTTTGTTCAGTTTAACAGATTTCCAGGACTTTCCAGGACCAGCATTACTTTTCCAGGACTTTCCAGTCCTGGAAAATGCGATAATAAAATTCCAGGACTTTCCAGGATTTCCAGGACCCGTACGAACCCTGTTTATAAATAGTGATTATCATAAACACTGATTGATTATTAGTCTTACACTGTGGTCTGCCAGAACCAGTTGAAGATGGCTGCAGGCTCGCATAAAAGTCAGCAAGCTCCTGGTCATAACCTGTGGGTTGCAATAAACAAATTTGGAAAATTAGTGAGATTTTGTTTTATGTTTTCTCCCAGGTTTTGGTACTAGACAGATGTTTCCAACAAAGAAAGAAAGAATCTTGAGGATATCATGTTTTCATAACATTAACCATCTGCTGAGCCATAACTTTATTAAAAGACTGACACGACCAATGAAACCCTTCTAAGTAACTGAAAAAGTTCTCCTGCAACTGTATATCATTTGCAATCCTGTAACTACCATGATCAAATGCAGATATAACATAACTGGAGTTGAAGGATGATAATGTTCCCAGTAGGCAAGGAGCTTATAATATTTCAAACCTAGCTCTATGTCAGTAATACTCATGTGCCATTAACAGATGCAAGTCGATCAATTTAAAAATTTCTTAGATGATATGCAATCAAAATAGTGTTTAATGTAATGTAACAGTGTTGCAGCCATTTGCTCAATATCTGGTTACGGCTTTGTTCACCCAAAGTCAAAAACAATGATCATGATGAAAATGATATGAATAACAACAATAACTATAATAGAAATACCAATAACAACTAAGTAATAATGACTTATAATTATTGTGGTTATCATATAGTAACCCTGGTGAAAATCTTTTTTAAGGATTTAAGGATCCTGCAAGATCTTCATGAGGACCTTTGAGGATCCTCTTGAGGATTTTCATGAGGATCTTTGGAAAATCTTTGAAGATCTTCAAAATTCTTGTTAAGATCTTCAAGGATCCTTCATTTTCTTGCCAAGATCTTCAAGGATCTTTAATTTTCTTTCCAAGATCTTCAAGGATCTTTGATTTTCTTGCCAAGATCTTCAAGGATCTTCAAAGTTCTTGTCAAGATCTTCAAGGATCTTTGATTTTCTTGCCAAGATCTTTACGGATCTATTATTTTCCTGTCAAGATCCTTGAAGATCTTGTCTGGATTTTCAAAGATCTTTACAAGAACTTTGAAGATCCTTTGAAAATTCTTTGAGGATCTTCCAAATTCTTGTGAAGATCTTTGAGGATCTCTCATTTTCTTGCCAAGATCTTCAAGGATCTTGTTGAAAATTTTGAAGATCCTGAAAGATCTTCGCAAGAAAACTAAAGATCTTGGAGAGAAAATAAAAGACCCTTAAAGATCTTGACAAGAAATTGAAAGATCTTTGAATATCTTGGCAAGAAAAAGAAAGATCCTTGAAGATTTTGGCAGGCAAATTAAAGATCTTTGCAAGAGATATGAATATCCTTTAAGATCTTGACAAGAATGTCAAGATCCTTGAAGATCCTGGCTAGGAAATGGAAGATTGTTGAAGATCTAATGGCAAGAATGTTATACAACCTTCGAAATTTTGACAAGAATAAGAAAAGAAAGCATACTTAAATCCTCAAAGTAAGTTAAAAATAAAAACTGAACCAAACATAAAAAAATGAAGATAAAACTTTTTTTAATTGCTAAATGAGAATTACCCTTTCTCTTCTAGTAGGACTACTTCTACACTATTTCTGTTTAGATTTTAGGTTAGTACTAAGATTTTCATTTTCCAAAAAACCTAGCTACAGTGCAGCTTAAAGATAAGAGGACCAAAATATGTGTGTTAAACTTGTCTAGGACTTGATTACAATCAGACTCAGACAACTCTTAAGGAGGAGGTAAACATGAAAAAAGACACTTTTTTCAAACAAGAGTAACACAATAACTATATTTCTGGACCATATACCAAAGAAAAGCTTAGGAATCACAGATACTAAATATAGCTAATATGTTGCCTTCAACTAATTTTTTATTTGACATCAGATCAATTTGTCAACCACATGGTGTGGAAATTTTATTTGTGCTTATTTACATTGAATTGCACTTGAAATCATGTTATTACTAATATTAATTCTGCTGTATCTAAGGAACTTTTACGAAGCAGTAGAACAAGTTTCTAAAGCACACTGTAGAGTAAATATCACAAGACCTGAAATGGGTAAACAAAACATACATATATGTACAAGCTACAGAGGTCTACCTACATCACAGATAAATCAAAACAGTCAGCTCTGCAAGCTTTAATGAAATGGTAATTTGTATGTATAGCTTGTAGCTGTATGGGAGTAAAATACACTTGTAGAATGCACTCAGTTATGATATTTAAAACATCCTGTTCATAAAATTCATGGATAGGCTAACTTTTAAATGTGTTATATTCTAAGCCCTACCTTGCAAGGGCTGAAGGCCGACATAGTGTAATTCATGGACATGTCCCAGTACAAGATGCTTGCTTTGGTCAAATGGAACATCTGGTTTGATAATTACTTTAATTAAACCTGGAAGACTACTAATCACATGAATGGCTATTTGATAACAGTTAGCTGCAGCCCAGAGAACCACATGATCACCCCATGTGCCATCTCGTTCCATGTCTGTTAAGTAACCATCCCACGTTGCGTGTCCTTTAACAAAGTGAAACAGATCTGTTCCATCCACCTTTGAGGGAAAGTCCAACAAGAAAACATGTAATATTAATAGTAATAGAGCAACTAGTTATGACTCAATAGGGTAATATTTTCCTATAATGAATATTACATTCAAAAGTATTCAAAGACAAATACGAGACTCTTTAGTTGCTAAGCTCAATAATCATTAAGAGTAATTCCTGTGTAAGTTGGATTGGGGTAATTTTTACAACTAACATATTTAATCTTTAAAATAATAGCAAAAAAGGATCAATTCAATGCTTTCAATAAGATTTGAGGGAGGTGGCTACCTTGGTAAAGCACCCAATGGAGAATATTCCTCTTGTTATCCCTGTACTTCCATTCAGAATAAACTGACTTCAAACTGAGTTTTTGGTGTTAAAATTCCAGAGATGATTATGAAACTTTTGTCTCCTTTACAACAATTGTTTAATTGATTGTTTTATTTCAGATCAAAATCTTCCATTTGCAGACATGAAAGCCTGCTTCCTGAGTTTCACACAGAAATTCTTCTGAAATTTGAGTCAGTGTGTTGTTGGAAACTCAAAATCCTTTTTTGCCCGAAACATATGAAATGTATGCTGGATTTCAGAATAAGACAATATCAATCATATTTATCAAAACTCATTTAAAAAGATAAAAGTCAACTGAAAGAATGCTAGAAGACCTCATGGTGTTTTAGGTCTCACTTCATGAGTTTGCTTGAAAGCTTTCAAAGTATACCTGGCAATTTACAACAGAATACCCGCCAGAGCTCCATCAGGTGCCAGGTCTTATTGAAAGCACTGCTATTTAAATGAATGATTATAAACAAGTTTATCAGCATTATATTGCTCACAGTTGTTCTTAAAATAACATAGCAATAACCTAAAACAAGGAAGACATTGTAGTGATACAAAGACAAGTTATCCTTTCTAATTGTGTCAACTTCAACTTCATGTATTACACACACTGATTTTTTTCCCTGATCAAAGCCATGATGTTCTAATTATAATTCCTAACATTTGACTTGAATGCGGAACAGAAGATACATTTTTAGTATCTGCTCTAGACATTACACATACTTTACCAAATACTCACCATTTTTGGGTGCTCTCTTAGATACTGAACCAAGGAACGCCTTAATTCAAAATGATGGATCTTTACTCTTTTGACAATCTCCAGTTGCTCTGACAAGGCATAAAACATACAATTTCCTAACCCTAGATTGTCAGAAACTCTATAGCCCTTTTCTGAAGCAATCTTCCTTAAGTCTGTGAATACGTCTGCATTTCTGATGAACTTCCATCTACTGACATAATTTTGCCACAGTTGAAGATTACAGATGACCCTCCCACCTAAGAGAAAAACAACTTAGTGACCATTACTTTATACATGTACATGAAAGGTTGCTGACAAAATCATGGCATATGGCTTAAGAAGAAAACAGTACAAACTATGTGGGTTGAGGATTGAGTATTTGGGAGCAGAGCGAACAACAGTTTTCAAAGCTTAAGATATTTTAAAAGAATTTGTTGCAAAATGATAATGTGACAACAAAGGTATACTGAGTAAGGTCAACTACAAGAAGACTTTAATAAAGGGGTTAGTTTCTAAAACAACTGTGCTGCTGCATTGTTGGGAGAGTATAACAGAGTAATTTGGTGTTTCAACTGAGTTGATAACATAAAATGGCCAAAGAAAAGAGTTTTAAAGCTAACATTTCAAGTGTTAGCCCCTCATGCTAACCTAGTTAATGCTCAAAATGTCAGCTTTAAAACTCATTAGGGTGGCCATTTTACATTATCAACTCAGTTAATAATACTTAATTACCCTACAAGAGGAATTGCCTGTTTTAAGCATCATTCACACACAAAAATTTGGCATGGAACTCTGACTCTGTTATACTTATCCTTGATTTGTTGTTTTTTTTGTTTTGGTTTTGTTTTGGTTTTGTTTTTTTTTTTTAATCCAAGTCAATCTAAAAAAAGACACCAACCCAGTTGACCATGCTTGTTCAACTTTCAACAGTACCTGCTTTATGTCTTGAGCGAAATAGCTACAGAAAGTATTTCCTATGCAAATGCACTTTACCAAGTACATAATTCAAAACTTTGCAACACTCTTCCTAACCTTGTGCGTAAGATTATTACATCACAATCAAGTTTACCTTTCCAGAGTATTTACCATTTTAAACTATTTTTTGAATCAGATCTATAAAAAATAATAGCAATCATAGGTCCAAGTTGACTCAAGGCTCATTCAACTTTTTACCAGCATACCTGGATTATCAGTTATTAGCCAAGTTAAGGCTATAACATTTAAATTTAAGTAAATTTACCAACGAAAAGCTTCCTCATCTTTATCACAAGACTCTTACAAGGCTCCTCCCAGCTATACCTCTCCAAGTACTTTTCACGTAGAAATCTTGACTCTGAAAGTCGCACTTCTCTCTTTTTCTGACGGACACGCTTGATTTCTTTAGCCCAGTCTTTAGGATCTTCAGAGTCTACTACACTGTGTGAGCCTAAAGGCACTTCCTTCAGAGCTTCTCCAAGTCCTGAATTACCATTGACAAGTACAGGCAGACCAGCAGATAATGCTGCAAGAGCTTTTATTCCAAAACATTTTATCGTGGATGGCATTATTGCAAGATCCACTGTACAGAATAAGTCAGCCAGCACCTCTCTGCTATCATCAAAGCTGCAAACAATAAGCTGATTATCACTAATGCCATAGTGGAGCAAATTTTGTGTTCCAATATCTCCTTTACCTCCATCTGGGTAAACAAACTTGAGTTTGTAGGATTCATCTTTCAACTCAGCAATTGCTTTAGCAGCTATTTCGTACTCTGGGGTATTAAAATATATAGAGCTGCAGTCAATACTTCCAATAACAAGAATAATTAATGTTTTTCCTTCTTCAGCAGCTTGCCTTACTTCCAAAAATTCAGAGAAAATGCTTGGAGTAAGGTCAAAAACATTTTTCTTGTGATTAACTAGAGACAAGTTATGCCTGTAGGCTTCTCCCACCTTGGGTCCAACTGTGATAACTTGATCAACCATTTCTAAATGTTTGTAAAGAATGCGTATATCATCAAAGTGTTCAAACAGTCTATCTACTTGAGAAACAGAGGAAAAAACTTGAATCCATTTGCAATGACTGTAATTAATTGGATTTGCCTCAATGAATGAAATTGGTTGGCCAATGTCAACTCCATGACCAATGACACAGTCAATTGCATGGTTTCTTAGAAAACGTGACAGCCAAAGAACTGGCATTTGATCAGGAATACCATCTACTTCAATGAGCTTCACATTGTGCTTTTTAGCACTGATCCTGTCCTCTTCACTGCAATTTGGAAGCAAGATACTAACATCCGCATTAGTGTGTTTAGCTAACTGGATGGCCAGCTCTCGGTTGAAAGTTGAAAAGTCCCCATCAGTTGATGATCTCCACCCCCTGCTTAGCAAAGTGACTTTAAGTGTCATGTTTTCCTGGTATTCCTGTGATGTAGAGGCTACACTAGGAATGGTGGAACCCTACAACCACAAAACAAGAATGGTATTGACAACAAACTGTAAAACAATAATAATTCACAATAATGGATATCCACTCAATATGTATTGTCAATTCTTTTGTAAACTTGTGTTTGATTTTTATCTTATGCCAAAAAATCATATACATGTAGATCGAGACAAATTTAAACCAGGAAAATATTAAGTTGCTTTAGAGATCTACACTGTCAGTGTCACTGTCACTGATAATAACCATTACAGTTACATGGAAAGTTAAAATTATCCTTAAAAGGCCTTCCTTTTCAACTCTCTTTGAAATTGGTACATGTAGTCTCACTGAAGACATTTAGGTTAAAAAAACAAGGAGGAGAATGAATGTTTTTGTCAAAATCAAAGGTTGGTATTTTTGTAATAGATTTAGAATCCTCTTACTACCTTCTGAAGTCTTGACATCTCAGGGAGCTTTTAAATTTGAAAAATTATGCTGGAAAAATACAAAACAAAGTATGAGTTCACTGTTCATTGAAGCTTTCTATTTCCTCTTAGAGTGTTGTTGAGACCACTTAAGGCAGTACTGGGGGCTAACTTGACCTTTTCCGAAGGCCTTTATTTTCTCACATATTTGAGATCATTGTTTAAGTAGCCTATTTGCAAAATTTGGCAATTGGAAAACGGCCTGTTTGCCGTTCACGAGTTATATCCTTTAGATGACTTTTTAGCACATCCATTTGATAACCATTTGCTAATAAAGTACAAAGTGCTATCTTACCATGGGTGTAACTCAGGAGACAGCTCTACAATACCTGACTACTTATACTTTCTAAGAAATAAAAACACATATATTTTCGTTTCAACGATTTCAACGATATTTTCGTTGCTCAACTAACTATGGTTTCCAAACGTTGCAAATTCAGCACATTTGTGACGCGTCACTTACGCTGGAATCTGAGATTCAAATTTGCATGTTTTCTCACGATAATTAGCGGTAAGTACAGGTTACACATTAGGAGATATCAAGGGGATCTTTATATCTGAAAGTGGCATCGAACAGATCCTGAAACGTAGAAAAATAGTAATTCCTCAATCGAATACCTTTGATCACGGAAGCACGCGTAAACCGTTGCTGATTGTTGTCACTGCTTTCCACTGCTAAAAACCTCTAACAGGAATGCCCACAACTTTGCCAGTGTACCAATCACTCGAAGACATGATTACGAGCCGAAGAAATATTGAACTTAATACATGATTGACGCAAACTCTCCCTTGTTAGGATGTCAGCTCCGTCAAAGAGTAACTTTCTGCATTGATTAGGAGGACAACATGGCGTGGATGACACAACTACAAAATGAGCGCGCGTGCTCTACACATTTGGCGCCTGACGACACAGCGGCAAAATGAGTGCGCATGCTTGAAACGCGTGCGAAAATTTACGCGCGAAAAGGAATGGGAATGACAATATTTCCATAGTGACACTATGGCGGGGATATAGCGGCATTTTTACAGTAAAATTCATATTGTTTGTTTATATTTCGCGGGGATAAGCCCTAGCCTGAACAGATAAGGTTCCCACTTTCGAAAAAGTTTCTTTCAAACCTGCTCTGTCACATATCTTTTCCAACAAAAAAATTATTCAGGACACAGGTGTGAATTTTAGTATCGAAGTGGAGCAGTCGTAACATGGCAATGAACTTCGTAGCCCGTGTTATTGTTATAGCACTTGGTTTTATCGCCTCCTCAGTATGGCAAACCGTCCGGCGAAAAGGTATGTTGTTTGAGAGAAAAAACACGCCAAAACTCTTCTTGTAGAGGAAACATAATTGCCTTTAACACTGAAATAACTCCAGTCGCAGAGGCAGAACCAGGAAATGTTGTGTGAATATATTAATGAGCATGTCATCATCAGCAATTACGAAAAAGGAGCAACATCTGATCGTGCTTACTAGCTTCACATTCTTCCACCCTGAGAGATACACCTATTCCCGCGAGACTTTACAAACTATTTGACGAGGCTGGAGAAAGTGGGGCTTGTTATCAACCAAGGATACTGTGGCGCACAAGTTGGAGAAATGCCAACAAAACATTTGCCTCGGACCAGGACCGCTTTACTTCAGATAATTATATTCAGAGGCTTCCATTTTTCTGCTGGATATTCTGGGTTTACATACTTCATAAAGCTAATGATCACCTTGTTTCCATGAGAAGATCAATAACTTAAACCAAAAATATTCATGCAAAATGGAGATGAAGTGCCATGCAAAATTAAGTAGGAGAGCCTAGCAGATTTGACAGATGGTCAATGAAATTAACAAGCTATGGCAGTTAAATGTATGATGCAAAACATACTGCTCTACCATAATTCACTAGCTTAACAGAGTCAGGAAATTGGTGCACAGGCTGGTACATCCAATTTCTCAACATTAATCACCAGACATAAGTAAGTACCTTACTTATGCCTTCACATAAACATAAACTAAGAAAGGTAACCAATCAACCATATTGCAAATAATCAGAGTTATGCTACGATTGTACCTGCAGGGTTAAACCTCTCCACGACAACATCAATCATGTAATAATATAATACTGATAGAGGTTCTGCATAGTGCAGAACCTTAACATGTAAACACATGTTAATTGTTCAAAATTGTTCTATATAACTCACAGAGTGGTCAAATATATTATTATTGCATTTTCTATATAATCTTGCAGAGCTGGTGGAAAAATTTCAATCAGCCTTGTACAGGCACTTTGAGAGTGGGG